TAAAACCCCGTTAATGATTAAAGAATTGGAGAATTATGTTTCTCATGGTAGTGAACTTCATATATTAACAAATTCTGTTGAAGCCCAGAAATTCGTATCTGACCACTTAGTCAATGAGTTAGAACACCAAAAATTATATTTTCATTCAGGTCATATGACACGTCGGCAAGATTTGGAAAAGCTAAATTTATCAACCTATAATTATGTTATGCTGGTGCCCAGTGAAGACGGTCGAGAAAAAAATTTAATCGAAGAAGCAGATACTGAATGTATAATTTGTTTATTATATATACGAGATATAATTGATAAATCAAACTGGGGTAAAACATTTAATATTGTAACAGACATGTATAACGTACGTAATACTGAACTGACGAATATGGCATCCGCAGATGACTATATAATTAGTCCAAATTTAATATCAAAATATATTACACAATTATCTGAAAATAAAAACATAAAAAAAGTATACGATGTTTTGTTGACAGCTGATGGTCCTGAAATTCTTTTATGTGAAGCCTCAATATTTGTTCCACTAAATACACCAGTGAGCTATTACGAAGTTTTAAAATCAACATTAAAATGTCAATGTGTGGCTATTGGTTACAGACTAATGAAATATGTACATGATCAAACAAAACTCTATGGTATCGTTATAAATCCAAATAAACAGGAGCAAATAATATTTGGAGATAATGATAAGATTATTGTTTTAGTTGACGAAACACTTGTATCCTCGAATTTTGAACTATAGATTTCGAATAGTAGACTCTAAAACTTATACTTTGATACTGTAATACAGCACGAGATAAAGTCTTTATAAATCGACTTTTTTCGGAATTTTCTTGTACCTTTTGCCACAAGTAACGCTCGCTCGCTCGCTGACTCTCCACCGACGAAAGTCATCAAGTGGTCTAGTTTTCGTCATAGTATCTGCCGCAAATAAAGCAATGTGACTGTTTGTGCTGACCGCACTCTGAATATACACACAAGGTAAAGCTCTTACCTGTCACACTAATACCTATGTGTATGTGCGTCAGTCACACTATGTTCCAACGCCTGTGTGTATGTAAGTCACACTAATAATGGGTCGGCCCATTATTTAGGTATCTGTGTGACTGTCGGTTCTTGACACGATCTTCGGTGTCCGTATGGACGACCGTCATAACTTGCACAAACATCTGTGCGTATGCACGTCCGTCATAAAGTGTCCAAGTATCTCGGAGTATGTCCATCAAAGTAATATCGAACGGTCTTCGATGACCTTGAATCAGAGATAACGCTCACACTTCCCTTCGGTCGGCGTTCGCCTGCGTCCGTCACACTAATATTCGAATGCCATGTGTATGTACAAATTCAAATGTCTGTGTGTTTGTACGTCCGTCACACAGTGTTCATATGTCTGAGTATAGTATATGTGTATAGGTATGAGTATGTATGTGTTCGTATGTATGGGTAAATACCGTACATCGGAAACACAATCACTTATGAAAAGTAATTTTTTAAAAATAATAAATTTTTTGATAACCTAATGGTTCTACGACTAGGAGAACATCTTTCTTCAGTCTAACCTTGTGCATCTAATAAACTCCGATTTTCAAATCGGCTCTAGTGGAAGGATGAATTCGTATCGTAATGTTGAACTATCTCAGTTCAGTCGATGAGTGATATTATCTTTGTTAAGGATTGGCTGTAAGACCTCTTGCCAATAGTCTTCCCTAGCGTTGTCGATGTTCTAAACCTTGGTATCCACTCTCAAATGGGATGATTTCTAGATCTCTCATTGAGTGATTGTAACTACTAAAGTGTATACCTATACTCGTTTTTCTTATTGTTGTTACTTGAGAAAGGTGTCTTATTAAACGATAGTGTCCAAGTTTCCCGATTCACCCACATATTCCACAGTACATAGTTTACATCGGGTATAGTAGCAGATATTCTTTGTTCGACAGGTAATATATTGTCGAATCTTTATCTCTACCCCAAAAACAGTACCAAAAAAAGACGAACATTCTCTGCTGTATTTACAACAGGAACATCCTACTCGATGGCATTTAAAAAATCCGATATTCTGATTCACCTGTGTTGGGGCCACATATTTGAGGTTTCCCGTATATTCTCGATGAACAAGTATCTGTCTCAGATTAGGGGGCATTTGTAGATAAATCTATATTTCGATCAGTCTTCTGTGTGTTTCGAATAGGTTTCATTTATCATTCTGTTAATCTATTGTATAATTTTGTCCAATATTAGGCGCTTTGTGATAGACCCACTAACTGGCATCTAAAGGTTGCAAGACTCCCCCCTCCGGTGGAGAGAAAAAAATTAATAAATACTATTAGGCTTTTCTTTAGTTTTTCCCTTGACTTTTAGTCTGGTGTCATACAAAAGCGTTGTCTTCTTTTAGCCACGAATAAGGGCACAACATATTTAAAAGAAAATATAAACCGCTATTTTCTGTCGACTTCATGCAGAATAGAAGAAAGAAGAAATTAAGAAACATCGCTAGTGTGACGGATAGAGATGTCGACCAGATAGCTCAGTGGTTAGAGCATAGATACGGAATATCTAGATCCTGGGTTCGAATTCTACGTGGTCACACATTCCCTTCAGTGTGGCTATAGCAGATGCACTCAATCATTACACCATAATTTTAATCAGACATTTGAACGTTAGAGTTTTCAAAAGTTATTTTCACATGATATATCAGCACACTTTTCCTTGAAACGAAAATGCGATATCGTTTAAGCAAAAATTAACGAAAGATATTTAGAACTGTTGTTCGACCTGATAATATTAGTACACGACTTATATTTAATTATAGTTCACTCGTAGTCACAATGAAACAAGATGATTTATCAAAAGAAGGGTGCGATGCTATTGTTATAAATAATAATATGAAGCCCAATGGTGGTGTAGATAATATTTTCCATAATTTGGGCGGACCTTTTTATTTAAATCAAGGAATGGCAGTGTACTGCAAGTAATGACTAAATGTTTTAAGGAGTACTCGTGCCCAACAGGACAGTCACGTATATTTCTCAGTGACGTTGGTAATAAGACGCTACTCATGATTAGTACGGTTGGACCTATTTATTCAGCTGCTGAATGTCAGAAATCTGCTCTTGACTTAACATGTACGTCACTCCGTTTGGCGAATTTACACGGATTAGATTCAATAGTTTACTCTGCAAATTCTTGTGGGCAACATGAATATCGTATGGAAATGCGAGAATCGCATTTGAGTCCGTGTAGAAATATGCATTTAATGTCCGAGACATTCGATTCGTTTTATTAGATCCACATATTTACGACGCGTCCGTTAACGAACGGTGCAGACTTGCTGATGAATTCAAATTTCCACCATCCACAGTGGACAATCTTGACTAGGCACGTGGACATTTGCTCTAAAGCAGTCCGAGAGCCTATAAACACTCTTTTTATAAGTTTTCAGATGTGTCTCAATGATGACCCTACAATCTAACCTGTACAAATTGTAACTTAAACCTAAGCTGGTTTAACCTGCAGGGCTCTAGATCAAAGTAAACTTTATCTGTTGACTACGAATGTTATGTGTCACTTAAAAATATTTAACTGTTAGTAGAATACGTATTCGACGTGAATATTGTTTAAATATTTCTGTTAAACATAATCTTACAGACAATCTTTGCTGCTACCAGATGCTGATAACAAAAGTCTACTGTACTATAGTTTAGCTGATAACAAGGGAAGGTACAATAGTTTAAGAACAAGATTAATAATAAGTATTTCAGAATGAAATTTTTTTTTGGCGTTTTAAGATAATTAGCTCGTCAATTTTTATATATCATGTTACATTACGGCTTATCCAGCTAACGGTCCCATTTTTTTGCTCTTTTTCAAAAAATTATTGCAATAAAGCTACAAACGAATCTAAAATTGCAACCAGATAATTAAGTAAATTAAACATTTCTCTATAAAATGAAAAGTGATCGGGCTCTGAACATTGATTCATTATGAAAATACAGCTATTGTACAAACAGATCAAAAGATCGATTTGGGGGCAAAACGTGTCTAAAAAAGTGAAGACGAGCAGGCGAAAATTGAACAAGTATACCAGTATGTAGAAAATCATTTGCTCTACAAGATGTAATAGCTTTTTAAGTTCGACACTATTCTGATTAATCCGTATTAATCAAAGAAAAACCAGAACAACGGTAACGATGTGACAGAAAATAGTCAACAGCTGTCACATCTTGTAGAACAAATGATTTTCTACAAACTGTTATACTTGTTCAATTTCCGCCTGCTCGTCTTCACTTTTTTAGACACGTTTTGCAGATAGCCCCCAAATCGATCTTTTGATCTGTTCGTACAATAGCTGTATCTTCATAACGAATAAACCTTTAAAGCCCGATCACTTTTCATTTTTTTCGATAGCTTTATTGCAAGAAAAAGAGCAAAAAAAAGGGACTGTTAGCTAAACAAGCCGATTACGGTTATTTTTCATCAGTAAATAATTGATTTCTTGCAAAGTAGTGGTGGAAGAACGAAAACACCTTATCTATTTCTTCTTATGTCATGGTTGTAATAGAAGTTATCTGTGTGTCATGATGAAAAATGACGCTATATATTTTGTAAACATAATATCGTTCGATGAAGTTCTTCATAATATAAGAACAGTATGTGAGAGGCCACAAGTATATCTCGTTTGTTTTAATAGGAATCCCATCCACTCTCTTCGTCTTTTTTCTGCTAATTATTTACATGCACTCATCTTGGTCATACACTGGTTAAAAAGTATACTATTGAAGTATATCAGTAACTTACGACAAAAAAAGATGAAGACGGAAGAATGTGGGCAAGTTACCATATTTACTGAATGTTTATTGACCTCTTATCAACATTTATATGTAACAAAGTAGTAGGACGATGATTATTTTTGTATACAGACATGTTTTTAGTCAAAAACATTTTTTCTCATTTTTATTTTAGATAGTACGCCATCCTTTGTTCTGATCATGTGTAGATGTTCTGTCGTGGTATCAGTAACACTATTGTTGATGTTTATTTCTATTGCAAAAACTGATAAAAATCCGTTTCCAAATCCTCCAGTTTGGCCAACAGTATGGATGAGTCATGGAAGTGGATATTATTTATTTAACAATGAGACAATATGTGCATCGATCTATTATGATTGGTCAATTCCAGCACAAGTAATGAATTTAATGAGATCAGATTCAATTTCATTTACAATATTAAATGTTAAAGATGTGGTATGGAGACTTGAAAGAGCAAATAGAACATGTTGCATTGATCCAAATCAAACGGGCGTAACACCACCAAGACCAGGTATTCAATTTCTAAAAATAATTTTATCTTTCAATACATTATTATTGTTTGTTCTAGACTGGCTGCAAGGTAATTATACTGTTTATGACGGTATCGTTAATGTTATGGAACATGAATGTAATAGTTGGACAAAAAATGTTCCTGATGTAGCCACATTCTCCTGGTTAACATCAGTCAAAACATCTGTACCATGTCGTCTTGGCTGGTTAGATGCTGTACATTTTGACTTTTCTTATTTTTCAACAAATCCAAATTTGTTACCAACAGGTATTTTTGATATACCGTCTTATTGTCCATTTAAAATAACTGATCCTAATTGTTCAATAATGCACTTTTAATGGTTGTGCATTTATCTATTTTACCGTAATATAAACGGACAACATCGGATATTAATGGAATATATTGTCATCATATATGTCAATACTTAAAAGCTTTCAGATGTTCTCATTTTTTTCCCTTTCAATAAATTAAGAACAAGTGTACTTTTTTCTTTGTAATATACACTGTAGCTAAAACTACGTAGGCATCCAATTAAGTCTTTAAAACTTAGCATATTTTTCCTAAAAACAGATTATGTGACTTCAGATGATAGTCAGATTTAACAGCCCTCTTTTAAGTCGCATCGAAAACAGTGAACGTAATGTTTACACTTTTTGGAAGAAGTTGCACGACGTCAGCGTGCCCGAGTGAGGAGGCACGATGAAGGACTGTGCTGTCATTCGGTTCTGCTCGATTTCACATCGGCACATGGTGCTGCCACTCGGTGGAGATAGTGGGAGCACGATAACTGCCGCTGTTGTCTCTCCCATGCATTTCCTGCATGCATTCTGCACATGGTCGTACACTTTTCGACGTTTGTTTTAAATTAGCATAGTACGCGTCGGTATAGATAATTAAAAGCGCTACTATTTTGTTTTACATTCTTTTGAAAATTCAACCACAAAAGAGCGAAAACGCCTTCATCCATTGATTTCCGAAATTTTCACAAATCAAAGAAATGAGTTGAAAAAAACCTCAGAAAAAAACCATCCCAATTAGCATATTTCAGCTTGCCCAAACCAATCAGAGCTTTAAAATTTTCGCATGACATCTGAAAATAAGTCGCAAGTGCACCACCATCACTTGATTTGTTTCAAAAATCCCGCAAAATCCGCTCCACGCGAAAGTAGTGGCTGCATCGGAAGAGCTTGCAAAGCGATACGATACACAGTTTCACCGGCAGTACGGTATAATTTGTTCAGCTGCTTATCGAGTACAACGAGACGAAGCGCGTCCAATCGCTTCTTCATCTCTACTCCCTTGATACACCTTTCCACCCCAAACTCGGCATTTTTCCATTATGTACTCCCTTATTGTCCCCGCTGATACAACCTCAATACGCTCAACGATCGTGACTTTCAGAGGTGCTCGTTTCGAGGCGTGTCGACAAAGACCGCATCTTATTGGAAATGTACAGCCTAAAGTGTGCCTGGGATCAGAGCTGAAAGAGTCATGGCTTGAAAAGCTAATCCACATGATCGCTAATCCGTTTCGATGATATTTTCATCCAAATCTCAATGCCACGAAATGCAGCGTGGTTAAGCGTCGTTTTGAACAGGAAGCACCATTGAGCAGTTGTTGATGCCTGCAATTAATTTTCATGGAGACAGTTGTACATATTTTCCTGTTTCATGAATACTGATGAACCTGTTTTATATTTATGATTTTTTAAAATAAATTCATAAGATAATATTTTTCTTCTAGGTGGTACTTTTTGTGGTTGCTTAGTAAGCATTTTTCTAACGATGACTTCTTCTTCGCATATTCCTCTATTAATTAAGTGCTACGGGTAACCATTCATAACTAATGTTTGTTTCATTAATTCAAGTTCACTATCTTTTAATTTCTTTGTTGAACATATAAGTAAGATACGAATGACTAGTGTTCTAATTAAGTTTAATCTATATTCTCGGGATTGACTGCTTTCACATAATAAGTATAGATTAGAAGTAATTGGTTTTCTGTATATGGTGATGGTATAACTATTGTTAGTCTTATCTCAACGTATTAATACATCTAAGAAGGCTAACTTTCCTTTAGATTCATGCTCAATTGAAAACTTAATGTTAGAATGCCATGTATCAATTGTTATTAGAAAATCACTAATATTTTCGTGTTTGCTGTCTATAATATAACAAACATTTAAATAGCCCCATATAAATAGCCTTTAACCTCTTGGGATGGGAAACACATATATGTATTTTGGTTCTGAATCAACTTGTTACTGACTTGGACATGTCTCTTATGATACTGTAATGGCATAAACGCTAGTGGAGGTCATAGATCTGCCACTTCCGATGTATTGTAATACTATCATCTGCAATATGACCCCCTTCACCTTCGTTCTTCCTATAGTTAGAACTTCTATGTTTAAGAAGAATTACTTCTGTTTTTTCCTCACACCATGCTTTCCGTCATCTTCATACGAGTTCTCTTTCTTCTAGTGCATTCTCGTTCTATCCATCGCGCGTATATATTATATATATATGTGAACTAAACTACTAAACTTAATAAACTTCATTTTTTCTAACAATAACTCCGTCCACGCGGTTAATATGGATTAGATATGTTGATGATATATTTTGTATATTTAAGAAACACCAAAATATTAGTGATTTTCTAATAACAATTAATAAATGGCATTCTAACACTAAGTTCACAACTGAGCATGAACTGGTTGTTCGCAGCCGACTGCAATCATTAATCGTGTCTGTCCTGTTTGAATCGAATCCTTGATTTGCTGTTGAATTGTTTCAATCAACTGTTGATATTCCTTTAAACATAATAATTCATTTTGAATACGTCTGTTAGTTCCATCGTATTTTTGATAGTTTTCAACATTTGTTGGAGTAAAATGTCGCACAGAGTAAATAAAATCAACATTTTTTGGTGTACCATAGACATGAGCAAAAGATATAAACGTCAGATGAATGTTATCGGTTCTTTCTTCAGCCATAAGCCCAATAAATTAGACATTCATTCTCTTATACATTTTTATAAAACCATCAAGTGATTGTTAGGTACATACAGAAGAGAAAAGGTGAGTGTTTTTCTTTCTTGTCGATAACATTACTTTCTTTTTCCTTTCTCTTAAGTTATACGAATAAACCTTGTAAAAAGGGTTGAAAGAAAACGAGTAACAACATTAGTTTACTAGTCGTTAAGGTGATATTTACATAAGTGGAATAGAATATCACCTTAAACTTCCCAGTTTTTCTATAAAATAACATCAGTCTCACCTTTCTACCTTCACCCATTTAGCCATCTGAATTGTAAAAGTTCATCAATTGAAGTATCGCCTTTTACAGTATCTTTTTCAAGCTTAGCGTTTCACTAATAACTTTGCATCCAAATATCTTCCTACTAGGCAGGCTGTTCTCTACCAAAATAGTATAATATGAGAATTTAACGTTTGTTTCCTTACTAACAGTTTTGAATTTAAAAAACGTGCTTGTTTTGAAAGTAATAAAAACTATAACTTATTTTATATAATTATTTTATATAACTATAGCTTATTATATAAACATGAACGACGTTGGCCTACCGATTTCCTGGGATGCTACCGAGTATTCCAGATCTTAGAGTACCCAGTTACATTATCTTAAGGCTATCTCATATATCATTTTGTAGCTCGTGAAATTCTCTATCGAACGGTATATAACGGTTGATATTTGCTCTGGGTGAAACAGGTTGATTAATGTAAATACTTTGAGAAAACTTCGCTTAACGCGAGCAGAGTGTTTTTTGCTAAAAGGTTTCCAGGGGCACTGAGAAGGATTTTTAAGATTTCAAAATATGTTAGCGTTAATCGTGGACAAAAACTACATCAGATGAGTTAACATAAGACTGATTTGAGCGTGGACCGATTTTGCCTCTTATCGTCCCCCGTCCTTTCTTATATTATTATAGTAAAACTACGGTTTTGTTTAGGGTTTCACACTCTTTCAAAGGGTATACAGATATATGAAACTTTTCAATATTATAGTTAATTGACTCTGTTTGCTATACTCTCTATAAAAAAGCTTATTCTTGGATATCGAAAATCCGCTATCCGAGAAAACACTTTTCGGTGATTCGCAAACTCTTTTAGGTTTTGAAACTGAGATACGAAACCCTTGGAGATTTTGTAAGCGATTTCGGAAATCGAAAGAATATTTTAGTATACGGCAGGGTATCCAAACTCTCAGAAACCCAAAAGATTTTGGAGAAAAATGTTTGAAAACGAAAAGTATATCCTCCAAACCCGAAATCCTGTTGGAACCTAAAACTTCTTCGAAAACCGAAAAGGTATTTGAATGAATCCTTTTCAGTTTTGGAGACTACCCTGTTCGATATCTGAAGATTTTTCTTCACAACTCTTCGGTTTTAGAATCCTTTGCATTTCCAAGAGAACTCTTTGTTTTAAGTTTTTTCATCTATGATGCAAAGTTCAGTTGCATCACAGAAAGCAGATTGTCACAGTGCCTGGGATTGATCAAACATTTAAGCCTGTTTTTCGCTACCACCCTCATTTTTAGTGTTTTTAATCATTAGTGGAACAAACTAGAGCAAAATGGGTTTTCCGCTTTGGCTAATAAATTTCCACTCTGTTTTTCACGCTGAGAAAATGTACCCCACTTTGTTTTCAACTTTGCGTATGAGAATTTTCACTTTTACTTTTTTACACCGTTTCTGCCTCAGAAAAGAGGAAGAAAGTAAGTGACCCATCAGTCTCTGTTTTTTAAGTACATGTAAGCGGGCGCCCCAGTATAGGTTTTTTTGACCTATTGAATGTTTTCTGTTTTTGGATTCTGTGATCAAAACTAGGGTTATGAAGAAATTTTCACGTCGTTTGGACTTGGTTTCGGCGAGTTGTAGAATATACAAAATTAGGTTTATCGAAAATTTTCAAAAAAGTGACCTCCGTGATATTTTGCCTATAACTTCATCGAATTTTATCCTTTCTATTCGAACAACGTCTCATTCGAAAGTCGATCAAAAAATGAACAAAATCAGGTGCTGTATTTTGTCGAGCGTAAACCGGATTTTTCAGAAGCCTACCATTTGAAAAATTACTAATTTTAAAAACAAAATGTTTCCAATAAACGTTATTTTTCTCTGTCCGGCAAAATGTAAGTTAGTGCGTTTTGTAGAGCGTGCAATTCTCTACAAAATGAGGTATAAAACCTTCTTTCACGACCTCGGGAACATGTTGAAAAATTGCTTGCAATTATTACCATCAAAGTAATTATACTATCAGCTAATAAAAATGATCAACAACATTTAAATGAATATTATCATCTTAAATTTTGTTCAGCTGATGGATATTGTTCTGCAACAGAAGACAGTCATCTATTAATGTATCGGCATGTCCACTATGTGAAGATGGTCCTAATTGTAATAAAAATTTGAAAAAATCTGAAGAACATTGTAAATCATTTAGACATTGTAAAAGGGCTTGTGAGTTAATCAACTGTGACACGTGTTGCTTGAATTTGATGTTCAAAGGCTTCATAACCTAATATAAGATTAGCAGTTCCCCCACACCACTATTATCAACAGTAATTAACGCAATATCGGCATTATTAGCTTGTGAACGTTCTTTGTTAGCAAAAAACTTGTAAGCACGGATCAAGTGTAAAATTCTACGAATGAAGTGTAAGGGCTGAGTGACTTTCATTAAAGCGTTTTTTTTAATGAAATTATCGGAACTTTTCGTTAAAAATTTCTTAATGAAAGTACCGGGACTTTCATTAAAATGTCTCCTGTAAAATGACTGTGACCTGGAGTTTTTTTAAGTGTAAGACTATCCAACTTAAGAATTTTGACCTCACATGACGCATTGTAACGCTACACGTCATCCGTAGAATCTTGCATTTCAAGTGTCGTACAATACGAAGCATGATTTCTCTGCTCGTGAAGCATGGAATCACTGTGCATGAAGTGCGTCATCCGTACTATGCGTCAAGTGTGAAGTTTTTTTTAATTTTTTTATGACATACTTCAAGCATGTAACCTCTGCACTTCAAGCGTATACGTTTTTGTTACTACGCTACAAGCGTGAGAAGAAGGACGCCATCTTTTTCCTTTTGTTCAATGTTGAAGTTCTGTCTCCTAGACAACTGTTTTTTTTGTATAGTCCGACTTGCACCAACTGTTACAGTTATTTAGGCAAAGATCAAAGGATTTAAACTCTTACATCTCTTTTCTTTAAGATCATGACTATCTTTTATAGTGAAATGCAAGACCTATTTATCATGGGTGGAATTGATAATGACATTACACAATTTTATTCTGAAGTGTTGATTTTTCAGTGATTTACTTTTCATTCCAATCGCGTTTGAAGTTATCGATTTTTTTCCTTCATAAGGAAAATCATGTAGTTTCGAATTAATGCTTTTTTCCTAAACTCACATTTCTTTTATTCTGATGGAATCGCGTGCGTTACTCTATTTGTTTTACCCAACCAAGAACGTTCTATATTTGGGAAGATAAGACATTGTAATCAAAATTATTGCGATTGCATCAGAATAAAAGAAATATGAGTTAAGGAAAAAAGCATTAGAAATCACATGGTTTTCCTTATGAAAGAAAAAATTCGATAACTTCAAATATGGTTGGAATGAAAAGCAGAAATTTCTATGATAATAACAGACTGCTAGCACAATAGTAGGAAAATATTTCAGCCCTAAGTTCTTTGTTTTAGCTGAGTTACAGACTTTTTAGTATTTTTAGCTTTCTAGGGCAAGAAAACAAAAGATATCATAAGTGCCATGCGCTGAAATCCTTTTAGTTACAGTTCTAGTTCACTCTTTCTTTCATTACAATTTCTTCCCTATGAACAAACATGTGAATATTTTAATGTATTTTCAATTTTTTATGCATAACTTTATGTGTTTCTTCATTAAGACTACGTTTATTATACTGTAAAAATTTTATATATTTTTTACATGAATATGGTGTAAATGAACATGGTTGATTAAATGGTTGTTCATATTTTGTAAGATGATTTGTATCATTAAAATAAATACAATTACCACGATAGTCACAAGCCCTTTTACAATGTCTAAATGATTTACAATGTTCTTCAGATTTTTTCAAATTTTTATTACAATTAGGACCATCTTCACATAGTGGACATGCCGATACATTAATAGATG